TTATGCATAAAATTGAGATTGTCCGATGCTATTTCACATGAACTTTAACGTTTATTGACTTAACGGAAGTGCTTAATTTGAAGCTGAAAATCTCATTTTCAACCATAAATACCGCGTCGTTTGAACATGGCTTCGAGTAAGTACTTCTTGCGCAAATTGATGGACGATTCGCTGTTTTTTCCCTGAAATTGCGCGCTTCAAGGGAAAATTAACAAGAAAGCGAAACTCCTGCAGACATAAAACACATGAGCCCCAAATAATCGATAAATTGCCGCGATTGGTAAAATGTTAATAACGTCTGTAGGACACAGCCGGACAAGAACGGTACAGGACAATAACTACAGCGTACTACCGAGGAGCGATGGGCTTTATCCTCATGTACGATATAACAAACGAAGAATCATTTAACAGCGTACAAGACTGGTAAGTGGAGGCGATTTTTCCAGTTTTGGGGAATTCTCCATCGAGTTTCTTGCCACTTACAGGGTGACCCAAATTAAAACGTATTCATGGGACAATGCGCAGGTGATTTTGGTGGGAAACAAGTGCGACATGGAGGACGACCGAGTGATCAGCTTTGAAAGAGGCAAGCAATTGGCCGAACAGCTTGGAGTGGAGTTTTTTGAGACTAGCGCGAAAGAGAACATCAATGTGAAGGTAACGTTGGTTCGACCTCAAAGTGTTTTATGAGTCACACGGGGGCAAACTTCCAGGCCGTTTTCGAGCGCCTGGTAGACATCATTTGCGACAAGATGTCCGATAGTCTGGACACCGACCCCACTCTAATGTCCGGGTCTGGTAAGGGACAGCGACTGACTGACGCTCCTCAGGGCCCTCAAACCGGCAACTGCAACTGTTAATACTGTTTTTTTGGAGTGTTGGAGTTTAGTGTTCTGCCGAGCGATTGCTGAACACTGCGAGCGTGTACAACTAGAATTGGGGGAAAGAGTAAAACCAGTTTTCTTTTCAGCTTTAGTGCAGTTTTAGCAATACTGTTGTTGGATCATTTGACCAAAACACCCAGTTCAATTCTGACCTATTGAGACTGACTCTAAGGCTCTTTGATCGTTAACGATTATCCAACGAAACCAGTTTGATCCCAAAAAGGTTTTTTCCCAGTTTGGACATGCACGCATTTATTTGTTACCCATAGGAGTTCAATAAAGTGACTAACTATAACAGAAATCGCGTCAATATTAATTAATGTACTTTCCTACCTAATAGCCTGTACATTTCGTAACACAAGCCAGAAAAGACGCCGTTTGAGAACTAGAATTTGTAACCGCAACCTCTAAACTAACAAAAGTAGCCCGTAGTGCGTTAGTCTAATTTTTGTATGCTTCAGCAGCTTTTTTCATGAACTGTTTAGCAGTTTATGAAAAATCGAAAGACCGACGTAGATCAATCATTGTTAAACTGTTTCTTGTTGGCTCACTTTGATTGATTCAGTTCGACATGTAAAATCAATTTTTCAATCTGTGTTATAACATATCTCTAGGCCTAGCCGGCAACCATGCATTGTTTGAAAACTATTGGATATCTATATAAGCTTAGTGTATCTATATGTAAATGTTTGTTTAGGGTTTGTTTAGGGCAAAGTGCGGGCAGTGCAAATGTTCGCACTTTGCGCTCCGCTCTGCAAGTTATGTGCATTTTGTGTAATTATTTAGACGAGTCAAATAAATGTGAAATGTAAATAGGATTTATAGATAGGAATGTTAAATAGTATTAGGGATAAACCTGATTCAATAACTTCTTTTATTAAGTAGCTGCGAACAGACCGAGACTTTTTCAACTGCAATTCGAGCTTTATTCCAAGTAACTTAGTGCTTGCGCGATGTTGCTGACTGTCGTGAACAATCGCTGTTACTTTTCCTAATCTTCCACCTCCCGTTGGTCTAAATGGCAATTTTCCTCAGGTCAAAAAAACGAAAACAAACAACAAGCCGTTGCTGGAAACAGGTGATTTGAACACTTTCCTGAGACCCAGGAAAAACTCTCTAGTTTCTTGCAACTTTGGTGAGAAACTGGCTTCTTGCCGTTTTGCTTGCATAAAACCACATCATCGCACA